TTTTTATTGTATGTTATAATGGACTTTACCCGTGAAACAAAGTATTATTATTATTATTATTATTATTATTACAAATATTTCGCACGGAAATCTAGCAATAAGTGACGAAAAAGGTGGCATCAACGTGGATGTACGATTAATCGTGACAGATAAGAAGCTCGGTCAATCTAGCTGTAATTACATCGGTATATCGCATGGCGTAATAACCGCATTAAACAAGGTCAGCAGCGAGCGCGGTGTTTCGCGAAAAACAGAATGAAACACGAGAACAGTAAAACTAGATCAAATACTCCTATGTTTGTACACAACTGACGAAAGATCTACGGTTGGTAAAAACTTGTAGGTCAGCAGAAAGATTAATTAAAAATTCTGCAACGTCTAATACGCTGCTGCTATGAAACAAAAAAAACTAAATTGGAACTATCGGTTCGGGGACATGCGAGGCGAATTACGGGCGCGATTATGGCACGCGGCTGGGAAAATAAGCTCGCGTTAAAAAGCGAAAGGGGAGATCGCCGAAAATAATCAACCGCGGAGCGTCCATCCACGGACATCGGTTTCCCCCCCCTTTTCCCTCCTCTATGTCCCTATTGTTTTCCGCGCGGCGTGCATGTTCCCCGCTCACACGCGTGCTCGCGTGACGATGGGCGTGCGTGTAAACTCACGCGCGCCTCTTTCTCTCTCGATAACGCATGTGCCGGAGCTTTTAATGTTTGCAGTCGCAAGTTGGAAAGTTTTGTGATGGCAACCCCGAACGACCGGTTGCCCAGGCGACGCTTTGTTGTGCCATTGTGTCGGAACACCACCGGTGGAAGCCCGCCCCAGCCCAACCCCCCAGGGTGCCCGACAGCCCTTCGCCGGAGAATATCTTTACCTATGCGCGATCCAACTCGGCTTGACCTAGCCCAAATTTCGGCTCTGCCGACCGTACCATCCGTTACGGTGCGTTCCCTTTGGAACCGTGAAACGTTCGACGCCGCAGGATTCAGGATAAAACCAGAGAGATTTGTACTTATTATATACAGCTTGGGACAATGATTCTCGACCCATTTTTCATTACATTAACAATAAACCTACCAGAGCGGATTTTTTATTATA